CTTCCTTGCTTCCTTGCTTCCTTGCTTCCTTGCTTCCTTGCTTCCTTGCTTCCTTGCTCACCGCGCTTCACTTACGTAGCGTTAATTTTCGATAATTAATTCTTAGGTCGTTAAACACCCTTCCAATGTAATTGAGATTAAAATGCAAAAGAAAGGGTTCACCCAAGAAGCAGGACAGGTATGTCTGTTGAGCAACAAGTGCAATACTAACTGTAACTGGTGTATTTATATACATGAAAAATTTACTCGATTCTGATTGGCTTACAGCAGTGCTGTTAATCAATACACCGCAGAAGAGATTAATTTGCACTGTAGTGCAAATTAAAACATGTTTTTAAATTTAAATTTTTTATGCATATTATTTATATTTATCATATGGTTTCTAGTTTAATTTGGAATTAATTTCTACTCTTGTGGTTTTCAAGAGCTCAACTAGCACTCGCCTTACTATCGGGCTCGTGATATTTTGCAGCTCTTTGAAAAACCCATTCGTTCAGAATTATTTCCAATTGCACTTGAAACCATTTGATTACCATTAAATACTTATTGATTTGTTTTTTTGTGTCCTTTCCAGTACATATTTCTTCAGTGTCCAGCAATATCTAGACTGGAATGGCATCCATTTACTTTGACATCGGTGAGATATCTCTACATGCCATATATATTCGTTTGCTCGCTCGTTTGTTCGTTCTTTCGTATCACCCATTTACCAATGTCCGTTTTACCAGCTTTGAAATATTTTCATCTCCAGGCCCCGGAGGAAGATAGTTTTTCCGTTCATATTCGCCTGGTGGGAGACTGGACTAGTAAGCTACAAATCCTTCGCTTCTTTTCTATATTATTCTATGTAAATTATTTTATGTAAATTATCAAATCATTGTAACTTATTTAATTATGTTGTGTTCAGATGCACTTGCCAAGTTATGTGGCTACGAAGGTAAAGAGTTGAGGCACGTCAGAGAAATGCCGAGGTAAACCTTTTATTCAACATGGTGCGCGACAGTGTTGAGGAATTTTTAAAAACTACTGCATATAAACCCAAGCATTTCGGCCAGTCGTAACCATTTGAATTGTAACTGAATGATAAGAGGCGCAGTGCAGCGTCCATAGTTACGAGAAACACGGATGGTGTACGCAGCTAATGCGCCAGGCCTCTCACCAATCAGTGCGACCTGGGTTCGATTTCAAGGGCTGGTGTCATATGCATGAGTAGAGTTGTTTGTTAGTTCTAGTTGCGAGCCTAGCTATGTTGTGATTTTCACACGATGTGTTACAACATCCAAAGTCTAATAATTTTTTTTAATATCGGAAAGCTTGCTGCGTTTGACGACATCTTTCTGAAAACACTCTCCAGCTTGTACATCCTTTACATCATGCATTCTTCATACGTTGTTGGCTACAAACATTTTTGTTCATTTCTGTTAAAAGATTGAGGAGAAATAATTCATTTCAATGTAGATTGTTATTTACCTTTACAAGTTACCTTTACAAAATATTTTGTTTATCTGTTTGTTTCAGGCTTGCCCTAGATGGTCCATTTGGGACAGCCAGCACAGTAAGTAATCATGTTTTATCATATAATTGTCCATAAAATGCCTATATTTCTCCTTCGAAAAACTGATATTTTCACATGTGAAAATAACATGTTATTTTCACATGTGAAAATATCGTTTATTAATCTATTAAGCCATTAGTTTATAAATAAAAACTTTTTATAATAATAAAAAGCTTGTTAAGCTCATCTCTCATCTATAATTTTTTAGGATGTATTCAAATATTCAGTGTGCATGTTGATCGGTGCTGGGATCGGAGTAACACCATTTGCTTCTGTTCTTAAGTCTATATGGTAAGTCAACGATATGGTACGATAGCTCCTATATACTACCATTTTATACTCCTCCTCATCCTCCCTACCTCCCTCCCACCTCCCTCCTCCTGTTTTTCCATCCTCCTCCTCCTCCTCCTCCTCCTCCTCCTTCCCCCCTTTTCCTTTTCCTTCTCTTTCTCCTTCTTTTTCCCCTCGCCTCCTATATCTTCTCCACTTCTTCCTATTTTTTGCTCCTACACGCAAAAAAATCTCATTAAATCACAAATTTTATCCCAGGTATCGTCATAACAAGGAAGACCCGGATCTTTTTGTCAAGAAAGTGTATTTCTTCTGGATTTGTCCCGATACTAACGCCTTTGAATGGTTTACTGATCTGCTCAAAAGTCTAGAAGACCAGGTACTACTGTCTTGTGTTTCTTTACTCGAAATAATAACATTTATTTCAGTGTGAATGACACGCTGTATTCATGCAACAGGGGCCCTATAAGTGTAGGCTTGGCCAACTAATAATGCTATACTTTTGGCATTTCGTTTTGACTTCTCAGTTTCTTTGTACGGATGCCATTAGTTTCCGAGTGCATTGTATTTATGCTAAGTGACCCTCTATCTCAAGGATAAGAAATTAAAGTCAGTGATTTAAGAGAGAGAGAGAGAGAGAGTTAGTTAAATACATGTAGGTATTTGCTACGTCGAGGATATAAAAACAGTGAATTGCAAAAAATGAGAAAATTTGCCTGTAGAGATTATTACATGTAAAAGAGTTTGATATTGTTTTTATTCACGAGTTTCCAAATCATATCGCGAATGAGCGAGTCTGCGAGCGAGTAAGTGACAAGTGAATACATGAGATATCAGGCTTTAGACTTGTAGTAATTTGTTTATTATACACATTTAGGGTCGATAAAAATGACAAAATTTACAGCTTCCAGTTTACCGTGAAATGATATCGTATCACTTTACTGATATGGTTTTTATTCACGACTTTATCAAACTTTTATTGACCCTAAATATGTAATAAATTCATTTAGCATAATTGATATAATTAGTGGCCGATCCAGAGAATGATTTCAAGGTAGAAACTTTTACTTAGAAATCTAAGGCGTCATATTTCTTTCGATCTCCAGATGAACGAATGCAACAATGCAGATTTTCTGGAGTACAATATCTTCCTGACCAGAGGATGGGGACCCAACATGGTAAATATTGCTATTAGTCTGGTCGTCAAAGACCCCTGTACTATCCCATAATTCTTTGTTGCATTTCTTGTCGTAAAGCATGATATGGTAAATTTCTAAATTAATCTGGTCGTAAGTTCCGTGTGCTTTCCCATAACGCATTGTTGCTCGTAATTCATGTTTTAATCAATCTATTCGTGAAAAGACCCCTGTGCTATCCCATAATTTCTTGATACTTTTTATAGGCACGTGATCTTTATCTTCGTGAAGACGAGGCTGTGGACCCAATTACTCATCTCAAACAAAAGACACGGTATGGTCGACCAGAATGGAACAAGATATTTGAAGGCGTTGCCAACAAACACCCAAAGTATGTACTCATAAGACTGTCATTTCATTGACAAATATTCATAGCTCGAGATTCCTATAGGACGACATATTTGGCGAGGCCATATTCATAGCCTTACCTACCATGAAGACTACTGGATCTAGTTGCTTCGGAGAGAGGAAAAAAGGAGGGACTGCATGTTGGCTTCCATGATGATAAGAATAATATTGATTATGGTGGCGGTTGTGGCGGCGGCGTTGATGATAATGATGGTGATGATGACGACGACGACGACGACGAC